AGGAAAAACAAATACAAGCAGTCTATCTCCAGTACAAAGAAAGGGCACTTATCTAGGTACCATCTGCTACCTGAAGAAAGTCACTTCTTGATGTGACAACTAACTAGGGGGAGTCACTTTAATACCTGTGAATGTTCAGCTGGCCATCCCAAAGCCAAGTTAACTGAGTTTAAAATTTTATATTATAGAAGGAACCTTTCGTTTTGTCTATCCAGTTTCTTGTACTTTCAGCATGCCATACGAAACCACACACTGAAGTTATTGAAAGTCAGTGTCTACTTACTGATCTCGAAACCAACACTGATGACTATAGGAAAGGGATACAATGGGGAAACTTAGACAATGAGGGAGAAAGACTAAGGTTCTGCTTCAAAAATCCTGCTTTACCCTTCTTTTCTAAACAATGTGGAACAAAATGACAGTTCAAAATGAGAACTTTTTTTGGATTCTTATTTCCAGCATTGAAATAGCTAAATTCTTATAAGGAAATCAATTTCTACTTTCTCCTGAGAGATTACAGAAGCTCCACTAGGAAGAAAGAAGGCGGGAAGGAAGGAGAAAGCAGTGAAGGCAAGACTACTGCAAACAGAACTGCAATGATTTCAGGAAGGAAACGAAGTTAACTTCTTAGTTTTGGCAATAGTTTTATATTTCTCTTCAAATCTTTTTTTTTTTTTTTTTTTTAATTTCTGAAGGAACAATGCTCATTTACCCTTTCTACCGGGAAAATAAAAGTAAAGGGTAAACAAAAAAACCTTTACTTCCTGAATCTTACTGTCATATGAACCCTTCATAACTCTGAGCTTTTTATGCTGTTTATAGGCATGACACTGTAAAGGTACAGGTTTTTAAAAGTCATTTTACAGATGAGAAAATGATGGTACCAGGGACTAGGAAACACACCTGAGTTTACTCGGTGAAAAAAAGGCAAGCATTTTCCAGAACAGGTTCCCAGTTTAGCTTAGATAATGAAAGTACCATGGAAACATAGGGTTTGGTGTAACAGGATGATTTCATGAGATGTAAACTAGTGTACTGTCCTCCTTGTTGCTATGGATTCATTCATAAAATAAGTGTAAAATAGTTTTTCCCTCTTTCACTTCCCTCATGCCTAGAAAGAACAGAAAGATCCTAGTGAGCTTGAATCCTGGCCTCCCTTACCCCTCCTTGAGGGTACAGCTTCCAGAGGCAAGGACATCAGTCCGCCTCACAAGAGAAAGTAGATTTCTTGGGGTGCAAGTCAAGGGAGGGGTAGGTTGATGAGTTCCAAAGTGGTGGCGACTCACTGCTCTTTCTTTAGTGCCTAGCCCAGAAGCATCAGGATCTGGGTGGGCAGATGATTATGAGGATGCCAGTGGAGATCCTGGCGGCAGTAGTACGGGTCTCAATTACTAGCCTGGCACAGAGAGAATCAAAACACCAGAGAAACTGCCTACTTTTGGATTTGGGCAAAGAGTAAGTATTTTTCCAGAAATATTTTTTCCTGATTTTCCTGGACTGATGGAGACTAGGTAGTTTAAGAGACTGGTTACTTTAGGAGAAAGAAAATTTGCTTGAGAACGACACACAGACATAGTTTCAATATCTATCTCCAAACAGGAAACAATGTCACACAAAAAAAGTTCACTGTAAACCTCACTGCCTGAGAGAACAGTATTTCAAACATCACCATGTGAAATTACTGTACTAAGGAAGTCACATTTTCCAAGTCCCATCCACGACATTAAAGTTCAACTGGAAAAAAAAAATTCGTGTTTTGAAAATAACACTCTCATCGAGAGAAGTATACATTGACACATAACCAAATACCACACAGTTGGCTGAAGTTGTGGGAGAGAAGCGACATGAAATATGGAACAAAGGGGCTCCACATCTCGCAATTAATCTCTGAAGTCCTTGGTCAGTTTCCCTTCTCATCTAGGCTGACCAACGTGTTTTGGGATTTGATATCCAGAAAAATCCTTGAGAGGTATTCTAGGAGTAATTGTTCTTTGATGAGGCAAAGCAGGAAAGAAGGCGAGGTAAATTGCCTTCAGTATCCCTTTGATATGCTTATCTTTTTACTACGGTGACACCATGTCGATCTGCAACAACACAATTTTGATGGATATTTAGGATATAGTACACGTTTTGCTGCCTTCTAAAAATAGCAATGCACCAAGCCAAAGCAATCTCATCAAGCATAATTTAAACTTTTCCTAATGATCCAAGGTCAACATTACAAATGATCTATTAGCTATGTGATCTTGGGCAAGTCACCTAAACCTCTCTAAGCTTCAGTGGCCTCATCGTTACTCTGCGAATGATGGTATTTATTTCATAGAATAGTGGTGGGGGATTCAATGAGATCATCCCTGTAAAGCACTTTGCATAGAGCCCTTTACAGTATTAAAAGGCCCCAAATGGTAACTACTGCTGCTTTTAACAAATTTACCTGCTCTTGACTGTGATCTAGAAAATTAGGTTGACCTACAAGTGTAACTTCTGAGGAAGTTACCACATAAGATTTAAAACTTTAAAAGATTTCCCTTTTAGGGAAAAAAAAATCTGTCTTTTCTTCCAATATAGTTGACTTGATGTCAGGAGAAGCCTTCTCAGTATAAAAGACTAAAAATGCTAAATAAATATTTGTTAAAATGTTTTACACACATAGCTGAATTGTCAGGAGAGTAAGGGGAGGAAAGGAGGCTGAGGGCTCCTGGTGAGCCCCCGCTGACGCGTTTTTCACTGAGGCCTCTGCCCATCCTTGAAGGTCTAGACTAGAGAGTGAGCTTTAAACTGCGGAGTACAGTGGGGTCAGAGGACAAGCCCAGGACCCTGAAAAATAGGAGGCTGGATCAGGAACCCCTGAGTTCCCTGTCCCTCCTACATGGTGAATGAATTGCCTTCTAGACGCAATAATAATCCGCCTTCAAGAGGCAGACAGTGGGGGAGGCTATACTTGCCCAGCTCAGAGTCTAGTGTGGAGGGGCCGGGAAAGCAACCCTGAGAATTCCCAGTCACAAGCCTACTCTTGAACATATTTGGGATCAGAATTCACCCTATTTATGGGGCCTCACAAACTTTCAATCCAAGCCTCAAAGAACTCCCGTAGATAAAGTTCCGAGGAGAGCATGAGCTCGTCATCACAAATAACCCAATATATGAGCAAGTCAACAGAAACAGTTTATAGAATCAACCTGCAAAACTGTAGGTATTTTAATTATGGGAGAATCTATAAGTATGTTTCAAGAAATAAAAGTAAAGTATTAAAAGTATGCCCACGTGAGGCTTTCAAAACTGACAGTCATATTTAAAAAGAACTACACAGTATTTCTAGAAATGAAAAAATATATAAAAATCGATATCAGAATTTTAACAGACAAGGTAAATATGAGGTTGGATGTCACTGAAGAAGGAGTAGCAGTTAAGATTAAATAATAATGATGGCAGACATAAAGGGTTTCTTGTGAACAACTTTTAGAAAAAAATCTGAAAATGTAGATAAACTGGACAAATCCCTAGAAAAATATAATTATTGAAACTGACTTAAGAGGGAAGATAAAGCCTGAATTATCCAAAGAATTTACCTGTGTTGAATCAGGAGTTAAAAATTCTTGCAACTTAGACAACACCAGGCCCAGACACTTTTACAAATGAGTTTTAAGAAACAGGTAATTTCAATCTTATATAAAGTCTTCCAGAAACAAAAAAAGAAGAAACTCTCCCAGTCATCTTATGGGACTGTCAAAAACTTGACACTAAAAACCTATGAAGACAGTATAAAAAAGGAAAATGACTAGCTTCTATCTCTTCTGAACATAAATGCTGATCGTAAACAAAATATGAGAGAACTTTATATCATGACCAAGTTGAGTTTAACTCAAGAATGTAAGTTAGTTTGAAAATTATTTCAGGTAATTCACCATATTAAGAGAATAAATGCAGAAAAACCATTTGTGCTAAAAAAGCCTAGAGTCAAATGTAAAATAAATAAATTTAAGCTTTCCAAAATTCTTTGTAGGACAATCATACCTTCAATGCATACCTGGTACTTCAAAATAGGTAAAGCAGTGAAAAGAGGCTAATTTTTCTTAAGCAGAAACATGTATATGCAAAAGCAGCATATAAAGAAAAGAAGCCAAGGAAAAAAGAAAAAAAAATTGAAAGTCCACAAACAGCAGACATCAAACACATCTCTCTCATTTCTCTCAAAAATATTTACTGCGTCCCTACTATATGGTGAGGCACTGTACTTGACAACATGCACAGTAATAAAAAAGACCAAACAATAACAACAAAAACCACAACTAAAAAAAGAAAGATACAGCCCTGTGCTTGCAGAGCTTACAATTACTAACTGATAAAGCAAAATACTTTGGTGGAAAAGTAAATTGATATGAACATTCTGAATAGTAATTTGGCAAAATGTATCAAAAGCCTCAAAAATATCCATACCCTTTGACCTAGGAAATGATTAGAGATTTGGCAAAGCTTATGAACAAGAATCTTTACTATGCACAATTTATTTTGTACAAAAGTTGAATTTATTGCTTATGAGAATTTCACAGCAACTTTTAGTTTGTTCACGGTTTCTAGTATCATAAATTCAAAACACTATATTTTGCCTCCATTCCACTGCACACACTGAAAAGTGATTAGGTACTTTGTAAACAATTGTTTACTATTTATAGACTATCTTTAAAAAAATCCTTGCCAAGCAGGACATTAGTTTCATCTTTAGAATCATTGAATCCTTTCCTAAATTGAAAATAATAATAATAAAGGAATACATAATTTTGTTCTGCATTTTAAAAATGCTATTATTTGTTTCCTTTAAAATATTTTCATTCATTATTCAAAAATATTTTGAAGTTCAGCTCTTCAAGTTAAGGCAGAATGTAGGCATTTCGTAGTATTTAAATTAAACAGTATCCTTGTCTTGACTGAACCTAACTAAAAACTGTTAGAGTCCTTGTTGGTCTTCTGGTTGTGCTTTCCTAACATGTGGAATCCCATCTTTATTTGTTCAAATGAGCCCACTTAGAATGAGTCCCACCTTTGTTCAGCTGTGTTGTGGCTGTACATGGCTCTGCAGATTTATACAGTCCAATGTTAACATCAGCAAGTTGACAATCTGCAGCCTGTCTTGTATGTTCCAATAGAGACATCCTCCAGACATGGTCCCCCGTTTCAATGGTGGACTCAAATAGTTTGGTATGCTACCAGGATAAATTGGGCAAAATTCCAGTGATACTTCTCCCCAAAGCTATATCCATGGCATCTGTTAAGGCTGTTCCATTTTGATGAATTTGGGATTGAAGATGCGCGTATAACAGAAGATGTCAGCTAACAAGATTCTTCCCTCAGCGTGGATACTATCAACTTGCATGGTCTCCTATTCTTGGCTGTAATGACATCTCCTGGCTTGCTGGGCTTATGCCCGGGCTTATTTTCACAATGAAGGCCAAATCTGTTTATTATATTACGTGGCAAGTTGAATTTTGCAGCAGTCACCATGGCTGAACATACAGCAGCTCCTCTCATGTCAGCCCTCATGAAGTCATTATTTGCAGGAGCCTTGGTAAGATTACCACCAGGGTCAAAGAAAATTCCCTTTCCATAAATACCAGCGGCACTTCACTTGCACTGAGGCTGCCTCTGTAGTGAATTTTCAAGAGTGGAGGTTCATGACATCCTCTGGCCACGCTTTAAAAAGATCCGATTTTCCATTCCTCTCCCCAAGACTTAGGTGTGATCTGGAACTGAGATTTACTATTAGCACTTCAGAGGTTCTTTTCAACAGTTTTGTGAAAATATGGTAGGCATCACCTCGTTGGCTGGCGTCTCCATCAAGCAAGAGGCCAAGTCCTGCCCAGAAGCAAACGCGACTCCTTTCTGTCAGGCCTGTTGGTCCCCACTTCCCTAAGTATAAGAGTTTTCTGTTTCTGCTTCAGCTCATCATAGTCATATAAACCCAGAAGTGCCCCTTCCACGGCAGCCTGGGCATCTAGCTCCCCATTGGTTCCCCTTCACAGATGAGACTCTTGTCATAAAGCTGCCGTGGCGATGCTGATATTTTCTTTGCCTTCACTCTGCTTTTCCTGGTCATTTATTTCATTTGCCTTTTTGCCTAGGATAACAGGATGCTGGGGCCGTCAGGACGCAGGCCATAACATGTTCATGTTTTGCCTGCATTCAGAGGTGGTTCAGAATGATCCAATTTCTCCTGACTTGCCAAAAATCACTTCATCGAAATTATCTCCTGTCCATAGAAACAGGTGCATCTTCATTTCCTTTGGCATAGACTCCTGAAACAAGGCCCTTTGTCATTGCTGTGGTGGGGAGACTGGAGGCCCAAAGATGCTTTACAGCCCAGGCCCGGAGAGGGACTACACTATAGCACTATTTACCACCTTAACGACAGGACACAGCCTCAGGGTTCATACGACATAGTCATACAAATGAATATTATGCAGCCATTAAATATTATGTTTGCAAAATCACATTAATGGCCAGGGAAATTGTTCACAAAAATAAAAAATAAAACGTTATGGGAGAAAAACAAAATCAGTACCATTCATGACTGAATACCATATAGATACTATAAATCATGTTTTAAAATAATGGAAGTCACTAGCTTAATTGTTAAAAGCACAGACTCTGGAGTGAGATCTGGGTTTGAATCCCACCTCTATCACTGACTAGCTTTGTGAACATGGAGCACTTTTAAAATATTTCTGTGGCTCAGTTTCCTCATATAACAAATGCAGAAACTTATATTAGGGGCTCTTGAAAAAATTAAATTAGTTAATATGTATAAAGTGCTTAGAAGAGAGACTATCACATAAACACTCTAAATATTAAGAATTATTATTAAATGACATAGGAAACCATTTATGACATAAAGAAAGCAGTATTTAACATTATATATAATACAATTTCAAGTTTGTAAAAACAACTGCCTTCTTTCTTGCTTAACCCCCCCTACCCCCCCCCCCCAACCATGCAAACAGAGAAAGAAAGTACAGGAAAGAAACACACCAAAATGCTAACGCTGAAGGATAGGACTTGGGAAAATTTATTTTCTTTTAGATTTTCCAGTTTTTAAATTTCCAACGATCACAGCGTATTTCTTTGAAAATTAGAGAGAAATCTTTACATATGTTTTAAAGGACCCCTGCTCCTGTTTCTTCTGGTTGAATCCTAGTATTTCTCAGATCTAGCATGTTCATTTTCTTCACAGGGATCTAAGTTAGCAACAACTTTTAGGTTAGTAGGAAAGGTAAGAAAATGATGACTAAACAAAAATAATATAAAAAATGTCAGAATGATGTCTAAGGAAAAACAAATACCAGAAAGGAAAAATTGGCAGGTTCCACGTCATGGAGGAGAAAAGTAATTTCAATATTTCCATGTAGAGAAACAGGTCAGTTAGTGATGACACTCATGATAAAAGACAGCACAGGGTTGGGGGTTAGAAAAAGGAGTTTTTATCCCCTTAGGTTTAATTTGCTATGTTTTATGTTTATGGCCTACCAAAGTCAAGATGTCCTATATATACTGGGGGTGTCAAAAAAATGTATACGCATTTTAAGAGATGTTATCTATGCTCAAGCAGTAGTTCGCCATAATCAGAAGTGTCTGGATGCTGATGGTAACAACTTTGAGCACCTCTTGTAATTGCAGAAATCAAACGTGACTTGTATTCATCTTTTGTTATTGGTATATATTGAGTATTACAATTAATAGTTTTTTCCTTTCTTCAAATGTGTATACATTTTTTTTGGCACCTTCTGTATATGTATGGACTATACACTATATATAGTATGTCCACTTGTATACTTTTTTTTGGCACCCCTGGTGTGTGTGTGTGTCTGTATACACAAAAATTTGAATAACTGTGATACAGAAATGTCTGAAAACGAAGTTTATTTTAAAAATAGAATACGATTTGAAGAAGGAATAATAAACCAAAGTCACCTTTCTTTTAATTTGGACATATTTTATGTCTTTATTTTGTTCCAGTCAATCGACTATAATAAAAATGTCCCTGGAGGGTGATCACATTTTCTGACTTCCCAGTACCTTTTGAAATGTGCTTGAAATGTTTGAACAATTTCTTTCTTTATGGGTCTTATTTTCTTAAGTAAGAAACCAGAAATTTTTTTCCCCAGCCTTCATGAAGCCAGGGCAGCACTGTGTGATTGGACCAACTAGACACTGCTCAGAATTCAGCTTTGGAAGTAATCTGAGGAGGAAACACGGAGAATCCATTTTGTGGATACTACGGAGGGAAGTATCAGTCTTTCCGAGGGCAACAGGGCAAAGTCACCTGTGTAAGCGATACAGTGACATTTTCCCTAAAACCCCCCGGATGGTATATTAGACTCTATTCCCAGCTGCATGCTTAACTACCCAATATCCTTTAATAAATTCTGCTTCTGCTCAAATTATAGTGAATGCTGTTGTTTCGAAAAACCCTGACAATATGAGGAATGATGATAAATGCAGCCTCTAAAATATGAGGAATAACAATAGATGCTCCACAAAATTACAAAAATGCTAAATACCTAGTACTTCATTGGTTGGTCCTTTGTTCCTACTAAGTAGAGACTAAATTCTCATTTACAGGTGGGGAAATTTTCTGAATATGATAGAAAGTACAGTAAAACCTTGGATTGCGAGTAACGTGGTTTGCGAGTATTCTGCAAGACGACCAAACATTTCTAATACATTTTAACTTGGTAAACGATGGATGTCTTGCAATACGAGTACTTTGTTTCTGGAACGAATTATGCTTGCAAACCAAGGTATTACTGTACATGGTACACTAGTATTCAGATCCACATATTTCTTACTCCAGAATCTGAAATCTATAATTGACACGAACTTCCCCACCACGCCAAGAAAGAATATAAAATAATGATGAGTCTTCATAAATGTTTACTAAAAAAGGAAATCCCAGCTTGTTTTACCCAAGCCCTTTCTCAGACTTTTCAGTCATTATCACTGTGACTTCCTAACTGAATGTAGAAGTGGATTCGAGTCCATGCAGAAAGTGAATAAGAATACAGAATTTGGTCAGATGCTAAAATGGATCCTAGGAGCCCCACTTTATATGAATAGCTTTCTTTTTTTAAGCCAATTCCTATCAACCACTAAAAACAAAACAAGTCTTCAAATCTCTCAGGGACATCTGAGAACATTGTTAATGATATTACATGTATCATAAAAAGCAGAGGAACAGGAGATATAAATTTTTAAAAATATAGTTCAACTATATCTTGATTTCTGTAATCAGCTCTATATTGCAAATTACCACTTCATCATGGTAAATTTGCAAATGTATTGGGAAGTTTAAAAACATCTTTTAACACCTGTTTTAGGGACACCAACTACCTTATGTTAGCCCCACTGAAATGTAGAAAACAAGATTCATTTACTGTCTGGTTCAATTTTAAAACATGAATGCATTCAGTGATAATTGTATTTTGCAGAGTAGAAAGAAGCACAAGGGAGCTTCAAAATGTTGGCTCTCATTATACTGCCTATTATTTCAATTATTTCAGATTATCCATAAGGCAATTTCCCCTCTGAAAAAATGCTAGATAAAGATATCCATGGGAATTCAAACAGCAGCCTTTGTACATATGGTAAATTATGTTCTTGGGGGGCACAAAAAGCTGTAAGTTAGGTGATGTAACACGAATTTAATTTTCTTGCGGAAACAGTATTATAACAAAGACTTGCATAACGAAACTTAACTTATATATATAAGTGACTACAAACATCTTACATAATCAATTCTTCTGCATTACTTCAAACATAATTCCAAAAAAATATGGCAACCAAAATAATAAAGTTATGTCTGTTATGATTCCTGCTTCATTTTATGATAAAAATCAAAGATTGAAGAAATAACAAATATTTCTTTGGGTAAATGTAAGCTGTCCATCTAGCCCACAGGCTAATGAACCCTTTCTTAAGGACTTTCTTACTTCATAGGTGTGGCTTTTCAATAGCCAAGTTTGTCCTGCATAACCTTGGGCTCTAATTACATCTGATGCAGATAAACCCTGACCTAATAGAATTGTCTGTTTCATCATAAAACTAAACATTTTTTTGGGTGGTGGGAAAGGGTCACTTAAATGCTTTTTGAGAAAATGTCATTTTTGCTAAGCTTTTTCATAATTAAAGAATTAGATAAGGGCTTTTCTTAAGATTCCAGCTACTCAACACCATCAGCTATAGTCTGCACCTGAATGTTAAGCTGTGGTTATCTTTAAGATGAAGATAACCAACATTTACTTCTTCAGTATTTTCCTTCCATCAAAATGTAAATTCAACACCATCAGCAAGCTTTGAAATAAATGGTGGCCAAGCTAAAAGACAACTAATTGTGTATATATGAAAACTTTTCACCTCAACCTCAAGTCTTATATATGTTATCTTACATGCTATGGTAATAAAGTGAACTGCAATCAGTGTGGACTTCCTGATCTGTATTGCTGCTGCCTCCTGGCCCTAACTGACCCTCAAACGGAGTCTGGCTGCTCTCTAATGCCTTTCTTCCCTGATAGTCATCATTTTGTTTTAAAACTCTGATTCCAATTTATATGTCCTCTTTCACCTGGATGTTGTTTAATAAGAGAATTTCTAAATATCTAGATGTAAGGGCCTTCCTCTTTTTTGTGTTTGTTGATAAACTGTGGCTTTTAACATTTAAAAGTATCTTTTGCCCTGTTTAATGCTCTGTGGCTTAAATTCCAAGTTGTCTGATATCAGGATCACTACCACTTCTCTCTCTTGCTGTGTTTTTACATTTATACAATATAAACATTAATTTCACTTTTGTCCATTCTTTATTTTTAGAATATCTGAATCACTCTTCTAGCTAGGTCTCTGATATATTACAGAACATATACTTAAGTTTTATATTGTGAGCCAAATTGTAAATCTTTTTCTTTTAATAAAAGTAAATTAAGACCCTTCACATTTACTTTTATGATTGATATGTTTAATCACAAATCTATCATAATGTTTTATAACCATGGATTAAAAAAATATTTCCTGTTTGTTTTTTTTTTCTCTACAAGAGGTATATATTAACATTAGGAAAGTTTCTTATTTTTGTTCTACTGGTTACCTTTGTACTTATCCTTTTTTAATGTCCTTTACTTAACTATTCATCATCTGGTTTATCAGGTATTTTCTTTTGGCAGGGTGGGGTGGGATGGGGTGGGGGGTGGTATTCTTTATCACATACCTATTGTCTTATACAGTGAGTTGTTGTGTTTTTTTAAATTTTCATCTCTCCTTATCCCTTTCTC